TCTTGGCACTCCTCCGGTTCCTCGCCCATCTTCACAGGGCCGACTTAGACACCGACTGTCAAGGGAACTTCAACAGGACATTGATGATCTTGTCTTTTCATTTTCCCTTCTTAACTTGGACACTTAAATCATTTGTCCAAATTTCATACAATTATCAAAGCTTTCATCCCTGATTGAACCTGCCTAACGGAATGTGTAACATAGTATTAACATTTTCACTTTAAATAAACTTCCTACTATCAAGCCTGTAGGCCACGACTTTTCCCCACCATGTAATTTTACACTTTCTCTTCTACCTGACTCAGCCTAAGAGCTTCTTGTGCCTCTGAAATATCCAAAATGAGGTTCAGGCGGTGTTGACCGCAATCCCATTTCTGAGTAGGCAGGCGGCGTGCAACAGCGACCGTGGCCTCTGGGAAAGAGTGCTCCATTCGGTTCATATGATTGATGTTGTACGTAAGAATCAGATGTCTTTATATATTAGCCTTAGGTAACATGGGAATAGTTTGGTTTAAACTTAACCAAAGTAGATCGAGACAACACAAATCTTCCTTAGGCTGAAAACACATGATAAGCTAATCCCAAACAGATTTCAATTCTGATGGGATTTCCTAGAAAGTAAATCTGAGGATTGAACTTTTCTGTGTTGGGACAATTTTTTGTTTTCTGATTGTGTCTTCTCTTCTCCTGTATACTTCAAGACTCTTGTCATACCACTTATATTTTTTCCTCTTCAGCACAACATTTTCCCCCTATCATTCAAGTTTTGAGAAATAAAGGGATCTCCCTTTTAAAAGCATTCATCACTGCACTTTACTTGTCTCTCATTCCCATTTCCATACAAACCACTCTCTTTGTCCTTTATCTATCATGTTACAATTCAGAAGGGTATTATTGAGAAATAATCTCATGCCATATTACAGAAATGTTGCAATTGTGTTATTGTTATTTTTTATTTTTTGCCATCATTCCAAACCCGACTCTTCTGAAATCACTTCTCTTGGGACTTTCATTTTTATTGGAAACAAAAAGAATATCTTGGCCTCTCCCAGGCCATTTGGTGCGGAGCCACAAGGAAGGCAGAGTCTGGATAAGGGTTCCTCATAGCTTTGAAAGGGAAACTTTATTTCAAAAATGTCATGAAGCTCTTCAGTCTTGGCACACCTCTCCCCAACAAGAAATCTGCGCTGGATATCCTGATTTCTGAAACACCATAAAACTTCTACTCAGGTAAAAAAAAAATAAGTCAAGAAAATAACAAACAAAAAAGGGCTTGGTGGAAATGATAAACTGGAAATCTAATGGGTCATAAATTTCAGATAATCAAGCACACCGACTTCTAAAAATTTAGGCAATATTCAAGATAACACTCAAGAAATTGGGTATTTGTTTCACATGTATGAAATGTAAACTGCTTCAATATTCAAACTTGAGTATTTCATCAATCAAACCTGAAATTGCATGGTTGTTTTCACCACAGTTATGCTGGGATGTACTAGATGAACCACACTGACAAGATTTTAATGAATTTGAATTCCATGGTAAAATTCCATATGATTTCAATTTAGGAATGAATTTATTTCTATAGAGGTTCAGCCTTTTATTGTAATGCAAAATACAGAGCTTTGTGAAAAAGTCAATAAATGTTTGATCTGTTGAAAAGAGACATCTCCATTTCTTGGGGTTTTGGTTCTTATAGTGAGATCCAATTATATAAATTGCCAATTTAGTAAATTTTATATCAGCCTCAGAAAAGCTAAATATGACAGCATTCTTATTGCTTGTGTTTTTAGCTTGATAGATTGGCTCTGTTTCTTCTGTTATGAAAGGATCTGAAATCAATTTTTCAAACATTCCATTTTTCATTTCCCATATTCTAATATTATCTTTTAGGCTTGATATGTTCCCCTCCATATTCAGGAAAAAATATTGGAAATAAATTTGTTTTGAATGTTGCTCCTGAAAGAATATATCCTCTATTTTTTCGCACCCTAAACTTCCAAGAAATAATGAATTGATAGAGGACATAAAAGCAAATAATCGTTTGAGCTTTTCTGATACTTTTTCTTTGGAAAGAGAGAGGAGGAATATCTGTTCTTCATGGCTAATGGATCTTTTGATTGTATTTGAAATTGATTCTATCACATTTGATACAAACATACTATCTGGTTGAAATTCTGTGTTCACATTCTGAATTTCTACCAAGGCACACCTTGTGAACCTTGTCCATATTTCCTTTCTTTGTGACTTTAAATTTAAAGTTTCACTATTTGAGGGTGCTATCTTCTGATCCAATTCATGATAAAATGGTCTCTCTTTGAAGCCAATAAATTCAACAGCAGTCTCAAAGTAAAAGCATTGCAATTTCTTCCTTGTTAGAATATCTTCTGGTACTGTATCTAAAAGATCCTGTCCCCAAGGTAGCAGTTGTGCCTGTTCAAAAAGACTTTTTGAGTCTATCCTTTTTTGTTTAGATCTTTGTATCCAATACAATCCAACATTTCCAATTTGAAGTGCAAAGAAAATTTCATCATGAAAAACTCTGCTCCACTTTGGGAAGTTCTTGCTTTTGTAGTAAACACCTAGAACATGGATTGCTGCTTCATTCATGGATGATTGTTTCTCTGTAACCAGGAGTGGTTTATCTGAATAAGATTTCCAAGAGATTTTCACTTTAAAAAGCGGAATCTCTCCTTTGGAATTCAGGGCAGTCAAAATCTTTTGGCGAAGTGAGCCAACTACTTGATCATGGATTGAATTCAATGGTATCCGTGGTGAGGTATTGAAATCTTGACCCAAAACAATCTTGAAAAACCAACAAATGATCTTCTTTTGCTCATCAAGATAAGAACTTCTTGGCCCATCTAACCCAAGTACTTGGAGCACTCTCAGGTTGAAAAACCACAATATCTGCAAAAATTGCATAATTTCATCTTTCAAATGAGATCCTAAACCAGAGATTCCTCCTCTCTCCAAATCATTAAATATAAGATTTTGAGAAGAAAAACTTTGAATCACTTTTTCCATTTGTTCAAGCATATTGCAGCCACCCTTCTTTTTAAGATAGTGCCAAATCACTGAAATCCAAGGCCAAAATTTGCGGTTGATATTCCCACTTTCCAGGAAAAAATCATGTAGAGGAAATTCATGTTCTGATGAAATTTGGTTTATGCAAGGCGTATCCTCCCCCATTTTTCTTTGGTTGGAATTCCCATCAATATCAAAAGGTATAATCTCAACTTTTGGATTGATCAGACCAACATAATTTGAATCTAAAGGCTTGATAACAGTGTGCAGTGAAGTAGATTTTTTATCGATTTCCAGGGAGTTTCCCCTAGTCCTGGGGCATCCCTTCTTGATTAGATATCTAGATGCATAAGGAAGGTGGCTTCTTGTATGTGTTCCTGTTTCAAATAGTTGATTGAATCCTACTGGGATCATGTTACCTGCTTGATTTGAGAGATTTTAAAGTCAGTTTGATCACCTTCCAAACTAGCTCCATCTGGGATTGAAAGATTTAATTTTGCTACTTTTCTGATTGAAGCTTTTGACCAAAGTCACAATGGATGCACTTACCTGTGGATTCAATTGCTAATAGTGATGAAGAAGCTGGGTTAGCTTGGACATTTTCTTCAACCCCCGGAAGACCTAAATGTAAATTAAGATCTAGTCGTTTTTTCTTAAGAGGTAGTGGCTGGTGGGCTGAGTCTTCTTCTTGATCTTGTGCCCCTGGACACACAGACAATAGCCTCTTTTTACCCTTGTGGCTACTGCCTAGAAGAATGGCATCTGGAACGCCTGATTTGTCAGAGCGGCAAACAAATTGATAAAGTCATGTCAAAAGCCAAACCCATGAAGCATTGCTAGATATTTTATGAAACTGACCAGTACACATATCTGACGAGGTTGTCATCTCGGATGGTCTCTCCCCTCCATGCATAAACTGCCTTTCCTTCGAAGAAGCTTCAGGATCAGGAGTTTGAAGCAACTGTAAGAACTCTCTAGTGCGAACATCATCTGTGCTCTGTTCTTGCGAGTGCTTGGAAATGCTCTTTGTTACCTTTGGATAGGGTGGCTCTCGGACCAGATTAAGTTTTGAAGTGAAGGACGCTGATCCCGTGTTAAGTTGGGTCAAGATTAAAAGCAATAATGAGTATGAGTTTTTCATATCAGAGTGATTCTGTGCGATTTGCCCGTGTCGTTGTCCTTTCCAGATAATCAGGGATTCAAGGAGTTCAACCCTGAAAAACCTCGGGAATATATTGTTAACTTTTATCCAATGACGCCTCGATCACACGACTGGAACAGTTCCTACCTTTGTGTCGTTGTTCAAGTTTGCTGCACACATCTGATCCAACTTGACTTCATTGAACCTGATACCAATGGGTGAGTGAGAATACAAAAGGTAAGACAACTTGATAGCTGTGATGAGTTTCATTTTTTCTATGTACATCACATATAACTTTGCCCACTGCCTCTGATGGGCAGCAATTCTAATGGGATTAAGGGATCCAGTTGACTTGACTAACAAATACTTGCTTTGAGGAAAAGAAGACCTCCCTGTCTCACAGGGACCCTGAGGCTGTATGAAAATCAGGTTAATTTACTCAAGTGGATGCAGGGACTTCAATCCTGCATTTTCACTCTAAATTAAATCCACATAAATCAATTAATTTTGTATTGGTGTCATGTTTGGTAAAGTGCCATCCCTACATGATTTGACAGTGGATGACTTTCTGTCTTTATCTGTGGGCCTCCCAGCAGCAATTTAGAGCCTCAAAAGCTGAATTTCCCAGTGAAATTCTATACTTTTTAGGTCTAAATCAACATCTGCAAGGGTCCCAGACCCAATGGGAAGGCCTCCAGTGGATGACTTCCCATCAACATCTGTGGGTCTCCCAGGTGCAATTTAGAGCCTTGAAAGCTAGATTTCCCAGCAAAATTCCAGAATTTTTGGGTATGAATCAACATCTACAAGGGTCCCAGGGCAGATCCAACAGGACGTCCTCCAGTGGTCACCACTTTGTTTTCTGAACCTTGAATCAGGAATTGATGAAAATAATGAATTGGACTAAATAATTACCTTACAATACAGGCATGCAATAAATTAAGAGGTGAAGGATGTGGAAGCCTTCTAGGATTTGCAACTTTCATGGGATGAATTCTTGTTGGCATTTAAAGCCCTTAAAGAATTGGATTTACACCACTAAGGTGTTAATTTCTGGTAAAAAATAATCTTTCTTCAGAAGCCTTATACTGTAGCAATGCTGAAACTGAGACAAGACAAGACGGTAACAGGTTTTTATTTGTAATTTTGAAGAATTTAAATACCCAAAAATACCAATCCTTTTGTTGTCTCACTTTCCTGAGACAATACACATGTATTTTCTTTGGAAAGTGAGACAAGTATTGTGTATTGTGTTAGCCTGCTACTAATCAGAGCCAGCCTGAACATAGCTTTTACTTATAAATTAGAGATATTATTACTTACATATGTACATACAATTAAAATAATAAAATATACTATTTAAATAAGTGGAAGCACTATAATAGAGACATTATTACACAGTACACTTACATTGTAATATTTAATGAGAAAAACATTTAAATAATTAAATAAATAATGAAAAATAACATTTTTAACCAGAATCTCCTAATAAATTCTGAACCTTAAGTATAACTCAGAATATCATTGCAGATCCTGAATCTAAATGCAAAATAACCTAGGGTAGCTCACCAAGTGTACCCCTGAATTATTACTCCTTCACTTACTTTGTAGTCCTTGAGTGGTATTGGACCAAAATACACTGTAGACCCCTCCAGTTACATCATACTACATGTTGTAAGGGGGCTACATGTGTAATTAAGGTTCATTCAGTTCGGGAAAAATCTACAAACAAGGTTTACATCATTGAAACCTTAACTACATGAGCACAGACTACAGTATTAAATTGTTTGGGATGATCTGTGGCAACAGTGGGCCGCTACACTAACCGTAGCGGTTAGTGTAGCGTAACGCAGCGGAATTCCCGTTAGCGTTAAGCGTAGCGTAGCAGAATTCCGCCACGACACCGCTAATGCTACGCGTGTGGGCCACAAAAAAGGGCCCACTACGCTGCGCTACAGCGGGTTTTAGCGGTTTTTAGCCACTTTTTCCGCTAAAAGCGCTGTAGCGCAGCGTAGCGTAGCAAAAATGCGCTACAAAAGCTCTAACACTACAAAATTTTGGCGCAAAAAAAGCGCCGCTACGCTACGCTTTTTGGGCCAAAAGCGTAGCGGCCCACCGCTGTCTGTGGCCCTTTTTGGCCCAATTGGGACAATTACTCTCTGAAGGATCAACCCATGCATCATGCAGTGCTGACATAGGCTACAGAAGTGTTACAGTTTTGTCAGAACACCCTGTAAACATGGTTACAAGCCTTACATATCCTTACATCATCTCCTTGACACCTGTAACCAAGCTCTACAGGTGCTACAGATGATCAAAAGCACCCATAGGCTTAGTAGGAGAGTTGTAGCAACTAGAGAGACTCCTGAGTTTGCCTCCAGAGGCCCAGAATGGGTATTTAAGAGCCCCTTCTTCCCCCTGAACTTTGATTCCCCATCTTCATCATTACTTACCAGCATAAACCGTCACCAACAACCAGTTTTAACCTGCCTTTTGGCCCTGTTCCTGCTGTTTGCAATCTGAATTTCAACCTTCCAAATCAACACCTGTTCCCCAGCACTCTCAAAATCTCTCACCCACCTTTCTGAGCGCCTCAAGAACAGTTTACCCCTCCTGAAGACCTCCTTGGCTTAGAGATAAGTACTAGTAAGTATTATTTCTTTGTTTCTTCACTTGTAGGCTATTTCTGGGCATACTCCTTTATTACAAAGGACGAGAACATCAGTAACACCCCTGTAACCCAGGACCTGATATTAGAGGGCACCATAAAAACCCCTGTAACTCAGGCCCCTCTGTAAATAAAAACTATTAAGTTTTTATTTACTATTTCTTTCCATTACCCAACTTTCCCCACTTTTCACGTGTCACCCACACATGTACACATCTGAATTTAACCTTGCACCTAGTGTAGCTAGAAGAGTTTCAGCTCTTGGCATCACTCAGGCTGACATATTGTCTCAAAGGGCTGATCCCACCAAAAATATCTTTAATACACAAGACATTTGGCCATATCAATGAAAAAAAAGAAAAGGTTTTGCATGGGTAAAGACAAATCCAAGATGGTGAATTTTCTCACCAACCAAGGAAACACTGATACCAGGTATCAGTCTCAAAGCAGAGACAATACATGTCTTGTCTCAGTTTCAGTTTTGCTTGTAGTAAAGGCTCTCATGTAAGCTAATTACGTTTTTGATCCAAGTGTTATTTTAGAACTGAGAGGGGTCTAACAAACACTCTACATTGTAACAGGAAGTGCTTCATTAAAACTTCACCCATGCATAAATACAGAGAAAGTATTTGCTCAAGGCATCCTGTATGCAGCCAAACAACACTTTCTGTTACTCATTATGTCAACAGGCAAGAGTGTAACACCTGTAGTAACACTCTTGACAGTGACAAGTAATATAGAAATATCAACTAAGATACAATAAGGATAACACATAATTATAAGTATGCAGAGTTAGAAAGTTGTAAACATATAATAAATACAAGATTAAGAAAATAGAGAGAGAAAACACATAACAATCAAATAATCAAAATTACATAAGATAGAAAATTGATGAGATCACAACTTTACACAAACCCAGAAGATTGATGAGATCATAAACAGATAAACAAATAAGTGGAGGTTTGCATAAGACAAACAGAACATAAATCATGCTGAGTAGAGACTCACCTAAAGAAGAAATAGGCTATCTCGGACCAGAGGAAGACCCTCAATTAAACTTGAGCCATGAGCTTATTGATTATTTGTGAGGGACAACCCTAGAATTGAAGCTAAGAATATTTAAGAACAGGACTCGAGGTATGAATGGGAGCCTTCTTTCCTTTTTTCCTCAGAGTTAAAATTATTACTATTAAAAAGATATACCTTAAAACACCTATCTCGAAGAGCACTCACTAAAAGAGGAATCCCTTTTAGAACTACCTCTTAAACTAGGATATTTATATCTCATAAATAGCTATAAACCGCTTGATCCCGATTCTCGACTGTACAAGCGTTGGTAACACCGGCTGTTATCTATTGCTTTTTACCTATTCCTTTTATTCCCAACTCTACGATCTGTAAGAGACTTGGATTGCCCTGGCAGATAGCTACAGGAAGCTTGAGTAAGCTTCAAAGCGCATTCTGTCCTGAGCATTGATAGAAAACTAATCTTAATTCCTCTCAATTCATTCTAGTCTACAGCTATAGCACTACAATCCATTAACGTAAGTAGCATAAGCTTGGCACATTAGAATTCAAAAAACAAAAGAATAAAAAAGGGTCTTAGCTAATCGGCTCCCAAAAAGTGGAGAGTCGACTCCCAAACCCCAAAACCCCTGAGAAATCCACTGAATTGCCCGGGAAACGGGAGTCAACCCTCCAAACCCGTCAGTGGGTTTGGGAGTCAAATCCCCAAACAAATTAATTCAAAAAAATCCCAACCCCCGAGGGAGTTGGGGGTCGTTGGGCGTTGGCTAACCCAAAAGAGCCTGGACAGCTGGGAGGATTCCTCCCGGCTGCTGATGGCACACTGTTGACGGCTGAGAGTCTTTCTCCCAGCTGTCAAGGATGTACACTCTTGGCGGCCAAGAGAAACACTCTCAGACGTTGAGAGTGTACACACTCAACAACCAAGAGAGAACCTCTTGGCTGTTGAGAGTGTACACACTCAACAACCAAGAGAGAACCTCTTGGCTGTTGAGAGTGTAAGCCCAACGGCCAAGCAGTTCTCTGTTGGCCGTTGACACTGCCAAAGGGGTTGTATTGGTTACAACCCCCCGCGGTGTGGTAATTAAATATGTAAAAAATTCAAAGTTTTTTCTTTATATACATTCTTCTCATACATTCACTCAGAAATTAACCAATACGCATTCAGAAATGGACTCTACTGACAATTTCAGCCTAGGTCACCACTGGATACATGATTGGAACACTCACGGATTGGAAGTTACGCCCCTACATACGCATATCACAAGGCCAACACCCAGTCAAGCACATGTCACAACTCTCAATTCACCTCTCAGTTATGCTTATACACAGATCACGGTATACACATAATTTCCCACACCTCTTTATCTCCACCGCATAAATTAGTTTGGTTTTATTTGTCACCTCATGCACTGCCTTTGCAGGCTGTGCAGTCTTAATTGAATTACTTTTCCCACAGTTTATTAATTTTCTCACCTCATTTATGACAACAGCTGGATTTTCCCACACTTTATTGCCTCATTTGACACTTTCTTACATTATTTACGCTGTGGTGGCGAGAGCGCGCCTTGGCCAAAGCTTTGGCCGGTTTGTTTGGGGGCATGCGGAATGCTCGCGGCGCTGATGCGGAAAGCACGCGGAGCTGACGCTACACAAGCAGGCTGAGGAAAGCGGCGGTGCATTAAGTGGAAAGTCTAGCTTCCGAGGCGCGGGAAAGCGGGGAAAAGTAGACCGAATGCACAAGGTTCTGAAAAGCTTACTGCGGGGAATCCGGGCACCGGCGGACACTGGGGATCACGGCCGACTGCGGAATGGGGGTTCAGCGTATACTGCGGAGGGGCTACAAGGAGCGGGGGGCACCGAGGGGGCGGAAGCGGGGTTCGGAGCGGACCAGAGGCGGAAGCGGCGGTGGGAGACCTGCTTATGAGCGGCCGGAGGAGTATCTGGACCGACAGGCGTCGGAGGGGTGACATGCGGAGTTCGAGGGGGTGGCAGCGGAAGACATCGTGGGAAGCAGGGCCCGAAATGGAGTGTGGGATACTTAGGAGGAGGGGAGTTTCGAAGCAGAAGAAGAGAAAGAGGGGAGAAGTACGACTCAGAAGATATCAGAAAAACAGAGTGACTTAGGAGTGAATCGTGTATTAGCCTAAAGAATTGTTAGAGATAGATTAGAGTTAGAGTATTACTTACAAAAGAACAATAAAAGGGAGCTATTTTTTTACCTACCTACAAGACCATCAAGCAAGTTACCCCGGACAACAAATTGGAGTAAGACGGGTTGCGGAGCGGAGAAGTACCAGAAAAGTTACCCCGGACAACAAATCGGAGTAAGACGGGTTGCGGAGCGGAGAAGTACCAGAAATCTCCTAGGACGCGCCTTGCTTTCCACAACGCACTGCAGCACAGCCTTTGACATTAATTGTACACAGCCTCACTGGTTAATTTCCCTCACTTGCATGATCAGACTAGCTAAATTCACTCATTTGTACCTACAGGCCAGCTAAAATCACTCTTTCTTGTCTGCCCTGGAGCTAAATTCCCTCACTTTTGTCTATAAAAGGAGGCTCTCTTCCCCCCATTTGTTGTCTCCTCAGTTCACTACTCATCTACACAGTTCATTCACTCAGTTCATCACTTAGCAGTCAATCAATATACAACTCACAAGTTAAAAACAATTATATAAGCCTTTCACCTGTTACATAACATAACAGTTTTATTTTATCTGCAATTACATATTCAACCTTTACTTCATAAAACAAAGTTCATACCGGAACCGACCAATCCTATCACGTTATTAAAACTTTCCAAGCTAAGCTTGGGGGTCTTGTTTCTGATAGTATAGAAGGGCAGAGTTTGAACCTCCATCATCCCCTTCTCAATTCAGCAAAAGGGTTTCACAACCACTTTTGAGTCTTACAGCGGTAGAGTCAAACAGAGGCCACCGATGTAAAATCGGTCCGGGAGACCGATTCTATATTGGCTGGGCCACCCGATACATTAGGACAAAGGGGAAATGCATTGGTGGGCCTGGCCAATATAAAATCGGTCGGGGAGACTGGTCCTTTATCAGCCGCCTCCGACCGACCTTACCGGGGGGTTGTAACCGATACAACCCCTTTGGCAGTGTGAGAGTGTATACTCTCAACGACCGAGAGAAACACTTTTGGTCGTTGAGGGTGTAGGTTTAGAGAGAATTTTGATAACTTTGATGGGAGACCAGCTCTTTTGTCTATCGATTTCACCCAAAGCTTTGAACCTCAAGACATCCTTGACCATCCCAAGCCGGTCGTAGAGGAGCACGATCCCGGGCACAAAGTTGTGTGTCAGACAGACAATCAAGGCCTTATCCTCGGCAAGAGGTTCTGTCGTTGAGGGTGTATACCCTTGACGGCCGAGCAGTTCTCTGTCGGCCATCAAGGATGTACACTCTCAACGGCCAACAGAGAGTTGCTCAGCCGTTGAGGGTGTACACCCTCAACGGCCAAGAGGTTCTCTGTCGGTTGTTGAGTGTGTACACTCTCAACGGCCGAGAGTGTTTCTCTCGGCTGTCGAGAGTGTACATCCTTGACGGCCGGGAGGGTTTCTACTGGCCGTCAACAGTGTGCCAGGCTCTTTTGGGTTAGCCAACGCCCAAAACCCCTTGGGTTTTGGGGCATCGACCCCCAACTCCCTCGGGGGTTGTGATTTTTTTGAATTGAATTTTTTGGGGATTCGACTCCCAAACCCACTGACGGGTTTGGAGGGTTGACTCCCGTTTCCTGAGGAATTTGGTGGATTTCTCAGGGGTTTTGGGGTTTGGGAGTCGACTCTCCACTTTTTGGGAGTCGATTAGCTAAGACCCTAAAGAAATTAAGGCTGTGTTTGTCAGCGTCATTTGCAAGTGTAATGTGTGAAATCTGCTCAAATGGCATCAAATTTTGCAGGTTTTTCACACATTGGATGACTTCCTGTCGCAATCTACAACCCTACCAGAAGTTGATTTACACCCCTTAGATCTAATTTTTTTTATCAAAAAAAAATGTTTTTTTCTGAAGCCTTCTGGTAATAGCTCTCACATGAGCTGGTTGAAATCTTAATTGTGTTCTTAATTTAAGACTGAGAGAGGTCTAAAAAAACTCTAAACCGCGACGGGAAGTCCTCCATTAAGCTGCTAAATCAAGCTTCTACATTACACTGCTACATTGTTGTGAAACCCCCTCACATTGCGGGTTTCACAAGAACTGTAAACACCCAGGATTACATAAGCAAGTGAGGGTACTTAGTCCCCTTCAGCTCCCACAATCTAGACAGCAGAGTTTTCTGCTCTCCTGTCTAGGTAAAGTCATTTTTTTTCCTTTCAGTTATCTTCTGGTTGTTTCCTTTTCTTTCTGATGTTTGTAGATACTGACCAGAGAGTTTTCCGCTCTCCTGTCAAGTTTTGAAATAAAACATCTGTTGGTTCTAGAAAGCTGGGCGTAATCGCCTGTGTCTGCCTATCTAAGTAAGAGACCTTCAGTGAAGATTTGCATCTCTTACAATTGTGCTAACAAATGGGGCCTGAATTGTCAAATGTACATAGATTGCATTTTTGGTGTTGTTTAGGAAACCATTCACACTCAAGATTCAATTCATCCAATGCTAGCTGAAGAGAGCCTGTCATTTATCAAGCACTTCCAACTTATTTTCTTGGCCCTCATTTGGACATCCTGCCATGGGTTATAAGTGGGCCTTTGTCATAAACCAAACTCTGCCAAAACTTCATGACCCTGTGGGATGAAGCATCACAAAAAAAACCAATTTATAATGTGTAACAGGATGTATAAACATGGCATTGATTATCCTTTTTGTGTTGAAAATGAATCTCATAGCCTGGAAATTAGTTTCTTCTTTTGTATGGATCTCCTATGTTGTACATTTATTGCCACACACTCACACATGTTCAAGTATCAGGAAGACAATAAAGTTCTCATGGAAATATATTTACACAAGCTCAACAAAACCAACATCAAACTGAAGAAATATGTAATACAAACTAGAACACAACAGCCAAAGTAAAAAACAAAAAAATAGTGGAAAGAAGAGAACACAAGAACAAGCAACTCAGTTTGGTAATTATTAGGAGTATTTTCTTCTTTTTTTTCTTCTTGAGATTGACTGGAATCAAATATGATCAGTGGGAGAGAAAATTTGGGCAATTGTATTCTACCGGATCTACATAGCTAGCCAAATCAAAAAAGAGATGAGACGTGAATGGGGGAATTAGGATGAGGAAGAATCTTTAAGGGGGATGGGTGGTCTAAGTGTACTCGGTTGAAGATCATCGGACCTATCATAAATACCAAAAAGAATCCATCAGTCTCTTGAGAAAGTCGTCTTGAGGCACATGACTGAATCATTTTTCCAGCATGGATTATTCTTGCGTTCAATCGATTTGATTTTTTTTTCAATGGAAAAAAAGGCTTACCTCCAAGCAGATTCACCATAGGTGAAGAACAGCAAACCATGTAACATTAAGACGTAAATCAGGAACAAATTCCGAGTCAATCGGTTCCCGAGGACAAAGTTTGCGGTATGCAAAACCAATTTATCTAGTGGATTTAACGCCTGAAGTGCCCCCATCCGTTCCTTTAGAAAATTCGCGACCACAGATGAGTAAACGCAGATTAATTTTTGAAGAATGTGACTGGTTTTGAATCAGCTTACTCGGCCCCTAAATCTTTCAAAGGGGTTCATATGCTCCTCATAGATCCCACGATATTTACTCAATTCCTCATCTTTCCTGGAAACGGTACTAGGAATCGAAGAGTTGAAGCGATTGAATCTAGAGGATTGATCGTTCAGAGTGGTACTACCAAGATTATCTCGATAGGATTGCAAGTATCGAACTTTCTCATATAACTTCAAGTTGTCGTTTTGAAGGCTCTTCATTTCGTTTCTCGTCATCGAAATCGTTTCGAATTGCTTCCGAAGTTCTTCTTCAAGTTCCGAGTTTCGTTGGCGGAACCGGTCCCGTTGACTAGTAATGATTGGTAAGATCGATGTATCACTTGTTATTCGATGGGGCTGATGTCTCGAATTGGGCAATGGCTTCCCACTGGGCGAGTTCTCAAGCCCGGGATCTTCTTTAGAGCTCCCATTGCCCATTTTGTTGGAGGATAACCGATCTGAAGTAGAGTTTTTCCCAACGAGCGCTTCTAAATTGCTTGCAGCTGGCCCCTGAGTTGAGCTGGCTTGCATCCTTGACAGATCGTTTTCCAGATTTTCATTCAAGGTCTTCAGCCTCTCTAACTCGCTCTTCAGTTTCTCGTTTTCGATCGTATTCATCCGCGACGAGACCAGCAAATCGTCATGCATCACCCTCAACGTTGTCAGATCATCTTGAAGCTTTCGATTCTTACTCATCAGTAGTGTTTCCAAAGATTTGGTCTTTTGTTTATTTGCCTTGTCGGCATTCGGATTCGGCATCTTGATGGCTAAATTTAAAGATGATGAATCCGGACTGCAATCGTCATAACCCGCGTTCTCTTCATCTTCCGGATTCAGCGATGCAAATTCAACATACTTTTGGGTTAGGAATGGAAATAAAGAATCAATTTACCAATACGACGGTAATTGTGAAACAAACATTCCCGAGAAATCGCTTACCTTGATAATTTCGAGCTCGCGTTTGATCTCGTCGTAATCTGAAAATTGAGATACTTTCTCTTTCAACGTTGAAATTTCTTGCTCTAATTTTTTGATTTGACGAGTGTATTCAGTTTCAATCTTGGAACGCTGTTCTTGGTATTCACCGATCGTGTTTTTTTGAGTCTCGAGCGTCGATAGCAGTCTGGTGGTTTCATTTTGAAGTTCTGTGATCTGAGACTCGAGAGTTTGAATTCTGAGAAAGGTTTTGAGACGAACATATCAGTCATCTTCGCGATGTTTTCGTTTTTGGGACCATTGAAAGAAATCGATCTACCGTTCCTGAGCCTCGCTTCCACTCCTGACAGCCTCAATTTCCGCCCTCAGTTTTTCGTTCCTTCTCTCTACTTCTTCGATTCGTCTCTGAGACCTTTCCAAGTCAACTTCAACCAGTTCGATCTCCGCTCGGCGAGAGACAGTCTCGAATTCTCTTCTCGATGAATCATCCAACATCTTAGCCTGATTTGACTCGTTACTTGTCCTGAGGTCAGCAAGCTGTTTCTTCGTCAAGTCGAGTTGTTTTGTCAAATCTTTTTCACGCTGTTGAAAATTCATAATCCGTTCTCCATAAACCGCATCCAATTCGGCCTCCTTATTCGAGACTTGAAGTTTGACCATCTCTTCTAATTTACTCTCCAACTTTTCCAACTTTTCAGTCTGTTTTTGAGATTCTTTTTCAACCTTCTCAGCTTCTTTCAATTGTGATTTTAATGATTTGATTTGATCGTTTGCGCGTGTAAGTTCAGATTCTAGTAGTTTTGCTTCGGATGCACGAACGGTTTGATCGACGGCCGCCTCCAAGAGTGGATATGGATCGGGAGCCTCGGCTAATAGTTTGTAGATATTCAGAAACGCCGATTCAGAGGTCTTAGATCTTTTGGTTAATGCGTCTATTTCGGCTTGATAGGCTGGCTCAAACATTCAATTTATCTACGGATCGTCAGTAAAAATACAACATACACATGATGGGTAGAGGTGAGATGAAAGCTTCTTCTACCTTTTAGTAAGCCTTTGAAGCCTCCAACTTTTTCCTGATCGGGCATTTTTTTAAAGTCTGTTGGAAAACTATGATAATTAATATCAAGCTATCGATCATTTGCAAAAGGCTTTCAAGTTACTTGCCTCTGGTTTGTTCGGCCAATTTTTTTCTGCCCATCAAGCTATCCTTCTGGTTTTCTACGATTTCCAAACCGGATGTATCCAAGCTTTTCTGTAAAGTGGAGAGGTTGATATCTGTTCAAAGCGTAGCAAACGAGGTTTTCAGCATGTGAACTAGTGCAAGGTCAGTAAGCTTTAAGTTTCCTATGCTGCGTGTGGAGGTGATGCTTGACGGACCTCTCCATGTTGCAAGGGCTTGCGAGAAGTCGGATCCGTCCGGTAAGACAGTGGTCATGGTGATGTCGACTGATATTTCGTTTGAAGTGGTTGTGATTGGAGAAGAGGCAAGAACACCTGGATGTTGCAGTTGAAGTGCTGGTCATCAACAGACTTGGAGTCGCTTACGTAATCGAGCCCAAACTTGTTCCTCTGTTGACCAGCTTTTTTGACAACCTTGCCTTAAATCCAATCAACACAATCTTGCAGAATTTCCAGATACTCAAACATTTTTGCTGAGAACTGATGACGGAGGTAATCAACTGCCTCACTGCTATCACATATTTCAATCAATCACCACATGAATGTGCCCCCAAGAAGAGGAAAGTTGATTCTTGATATTTTGACCAGGTGTTTTATTACCCCTGCCATTTTTTCCCATCCAGTTTGAAAAAGCAAAGCAAATTGTGGGTTTGATTGATCATTGTGTTTTTTTTTCTCAACCAAAAAATATTGACTGCATTTTCAGTATCTGCATCCCTTGTTGTGTTAGTGCACCTCCAGCAGACCTTGGAAAACATTTCTGGAACTTGGAAGGCCTTGGTATCATACAAACTTTCACCAACCTGGGGCAGCTATTTTGTAGGTTGATCAGACCTCACCTGGCTTTCAAAGTTGTCCATGAACCATTAATGTATTAAGAACAGAAGTAGACTTGAAGTTGGAGTCAGCAGACAAGGAGGGATGGGATCACCTGCTCGGTACCCATATACCAACCCCTAAGCATACCTTACGGCAGCACGAGCGGCATCCTCGAAGGGTGTGTCGCGGGTATTTTATCGACATGCGGAAAATGCGGAATTCGTCCCACATTTTCCCGCTTCATCCCCCCCAAGTTCGCGAGGACTTGTCCCCCCCTTCCTCTCATCCATCGACCCTTATAAAAAAATGGCTCCTCTTATATTGACCCTTACAATTTTTTTGTAAGGGTCGCATCGAATCCATACCCTTACAAATTTTTTATAAGATCATCACTCTTGTCGTTCTACATACTTTCTTTTTTAATTAAATTCCTCTCAAGTAATTCATTTGTGTTTTTGTGTTTTTCATTTCATGCTCAGCTTTGTTAAAGCGATCGATATTTGTGTTTCAATCAAAAAGTTTCATTTCGTTTTTCAGGAGCACATGAACTCGACAGACAGAAAGAAAAGAAAAGAAATACATGCAAAATTTAAATTTTGTTTTGATGAGAGCCTGTAAGAAGCGTGTATTTTATCTCGATGGAAGAGGAGTTGCATAATGTAAAATAATAAAGGAAAGAAAGAGACTGAATCAAGGAAAAAAGAGACTCGATCGAGGAAGAAATGAGGTACAATGAACATGAAGAAGGGAATCTAAATCACTGTGTAACTTCATCTGTTCCTTCCCCTGCCTCCTCACCTTCGGGTGTGGTTTGATCATCATGATCCGCTTCCCAAGCTTCATCTTCCGGTTGTTCTGCTTCCGGTTCACCATCGACAAAAGAGAGAGCTTCCAGTGTGTCTTCAATTGTACCAATATCCGACCGAGTTAGCGCCTCCTTGATTGAACTAATCACATCAAACCAAGGATGATCCGCCTTTGTATGTTGGCTGCGAGTGTTTTTCCATAAAACTTCCACGTCTACCATCCAGGCCACCATGAGTCGTTCGTGGTCACGCAAGTTCTACTAGTAGGATGGTTAAAAAGGTGAATGGAAGTGTGTAGAGGGAGGGAAATGGGATGGAAAGATTATTCCACTTCAAGGTTTGTACTTTCAGGGTAGCTACACCATAATCCAAAATAATATTGCAGGAATTTTCATTTGATCAAAAGTTATGGTTAGTTGAATCACTGGTGGCTCTCATGTCAGGTGAATCAAAAAAGTGAATGGAGGTGTGTAACAGGAGTAATACTTGGCCAAAAGATTATGCAAACTCAGTACTGCTATTTTCATAGTAGCTGAACAATAATCTGAAATAATATTTGAGGAATTGTGATTGGATAAAAAGTTATGATTGGTTGAATCATAGATAAATCTTATGGTAGGTAGATCAAAAATGTGAATGGAAGTGTGTAGACAGAGCAATATTTCATTTCAAAGGAAACTGTGCTGTGAATTTGTACTTTCCATGTCGGCTGAACCACAATCTGAAATCGCATTGTAGGAATTGCAACCTGATCAAAAGTTATGAGTGTTTGAATTCTGGAGAAATGCCCATAATGGGGTGAAATGTGAGCAGAAGTGTTGACACAAGAAATATTGCAATAACATGGCAGTTTGACTGGTTGATCTTACACTGCAAACACTCATAACTTTTGATCAATTTCCAATTCCTACAATATTATTTCAGATTGTGGTTCAGCCACCATGAAAGTACAAATTCACAACACAGTTTCTTTTTTGCTAAAATATTACACTCTCTCCATAATTTTGCACATTTCCTTCTTGCATCCACAACAGGTATTTCCCAAGATTCAAAAACTCATACCTATTTATCAACTTATAATTCCAGTGATATTATTTCAGATTATTGTTCAGCTACCCTGAAAGTATGAGCTGAGAAGTTGAAAAATCTCTCGGTCTAATAATTCTCCGGTTACACACTTTCATTCACTTATTCACCTCTCCTACTATTAGAGTCACTCAAGATTTAACCAACTATAAATTTTTATCCACTGCCAATTCCTGCAATATTATTTCAGATTGTGGTTCAGCCACCATGAAAGTACAAAACGGTATCCCAGCTTCCTGTGAAATGAAATATTACTCTGTCTACACACTTCCATTCACATTTTTGATCTACCTACCATAAGATTTATCTATGATTCAACCAATCATAACTTTTTATCCAATCACAATTCCTCAAATATTATTTCAGATTATTGTTCAGCTACTATGAAAATAGCAGTACTGAGTTTGCATAATCTTTTGGCCAAGTATTACTCCTGTTACACACCTCCATTCACTTTTTTGATTCACCTGACATGAGAGCCACCAGTGATTCAACTAACCATAACTTTTGATCAAATGAAAATTCCTGCAATATTATTTTGGATTATGGTGTAGCTACCCTGAAAGTACAAACCTTGAAGTGGAATAATCTTTCCATCCCATTTCCCTCCCTCTACACACTTCCATTCACCTTTTTAACCATCCTACTAGTAGAACTTGCGTGACCACGAACGACTCATGGTGGCCTGGATGGTAGACGTGGAAGTTTTATGGAAAAACACTCGCAGCCAACATACAAAGGCGGATCATCCTTGGTTTGATGTGATTAGTTCAATCAAGGAGGCGCTAACTCGGTCGGATATTGGTACAATTGAAGACACACTGGAAGCTCTCTCTTTTGTCGATGGTGAACCGGAAGCAGAACAACCGGAAGATGAAGCTTGGGAAGCGGATCATGATGATCAAACCACACCCGAAGGTGAGGAGGCAGGGGAAGGAACAGATGAAGTTACACAGTGATTTAGATTCCCTTCTTCATGTTCATTGTACCTCATTTCTTCCTCGATCGAGTCTCTTTTTTCCTTGATTCAGTCTCTTTCTTTCCTTTATTATTTTACATTATGCAACTCCTCTTCCATTGTTCAGCTACTATGAAAATAGCAGTACTGAGTTTGCATAATCTTTTGGCCAAGTATTACTCCTGTTACACACCTCCATTCACTTTTTTGATTCACCTGACATGAGAGCCACCAGTGATTCAACTAACCATAACTTTTGATCAAATGAAAATTCCTGCAATATTATTTTGGATTATGGTGTAGCTACCCCAAAAGTACAAACCATGAATTGGAATAATCTTTTAATCTTATTTCCCTCCCTCTACACACTTCCATTCACCTTTTTAACCATCCTACTAGTAGAGTCACTCAACATTTAACCATTAATAAATGTTTATCCACTTAAAATTCCTGAAATATTATTGCAGAATTTTTTCAGAGCTACCCTGGCAGTACAAACCATGAATTGGAATAATCTTATGATATGGTTTTCCTCTCTCTAAAGACTTTTAATCACATCTACTCACATTTTCCTCATAACCTATAATTGTGTAATTCAAAATTTATACAGCCAGAAATCCCCCAAAATTTGAATGATGAGTTTGTTAGATCACCACCAGCAGCACAGAAATTTTTTTGACCCATGTTTTCATTGTTCATGAGGTAATGTTGTGATGAGTTATCTTTCTGCCAATAAATAAGGTGGCTCAGGGAGATGTTGGGAACATCCATTTATGGTTTTGGGCCCCAGGTTCATCTTGCAAGCTGTAGCTTTTTAAACTCAAGAATTTATCAAACATTTTCAGTCCGACACATCCTTTACTTAACCTTCATCTTTCTTGAACTTCATCTTTGTCGCTCAGATTCTTCCTACACCCTATTGGCAATTGGAGACCTTGTTTGCAAGTCGAGACCGAGACCTCTGTCAGCCATTCATCAAAAACGAAATCAACAACTCATCAATAACCATATCAACCGACATCAAAGTTACGATTCAAGGGCAAATCAACACCTCTCTCAACGCTCCCTCAAGATACATATCAAGCTCCAGGACATATTTTCAACTATATCGGTTCCGCGGCGGAGATGTTTTCCTATGGAGATATGCCAGATACCGCTGGGTGGAACACTCAAGCTCAGTCAGCTTTGATTCCCAACCAAACCCTTCTCTCCGCCTGCGAAAACCCACCCAATCTCAACCTTTCTACATCTGGCTTGCTGCTTCATTCTGCTCAATCCAATCAATCACAAAATAATACTCATCAATCGCAAGACGACGAAGACGGCTTGCGAGCTATGATGGCCGATAATGCACAACAAAGATCTGAACAACAAAACCCTGAAACCATCAAATTAAATCGTCCAACACATTCACATCAGCTGACCGATGCCGACATGGAACGCTTTGCTAAATTGGGGCTCGCCGAACTTCGAGTCGCTTCGGACGCCTATGCCACTCGAGGTCGGATGACCGAAGATATGAAAGCCAAAGTCAATGACCTTTACTACGACTTCCAGTGTGATGTTGTTAAGCTTGCAATACATAACCGAGTAGGTGTACACCTTTACTTTGAACATTTAGGACAAAGTAGAAGAGTCAGAGGCGGATCGACATGGAATAACTTTCAGAAATATGATTCTGAGGCGCAGAAGCTATTTGACGAATGTGAGCTGCTCTTCTTTGTCCCCTTTTGTTTCTCATTTATTCTTAACACGATGTTATTCTTAACGCGATGAACCTATTCTTAGATGGCCGCGTTGCTGGGGCTCCCATGGTGTCTGCTTTGTGGAATACTAAAACTCAAGCAGAAAAGGATCGCTACCTTGATTTAGACTTTTTGAATACCTTGCGCGAAGTGGTAACGGACGAATCTACCACATCGGTCCCACCCGAACCAACAACCAGTTACCCATCTGAACGACCAAAAGACCCTTCGATTAATGCTAGTCGAGTAGCAGCAAGATTGAACGGAAGAATACAATCGTCAAACGCCTTGCAGCAGAAAACCTTGACCATGACGATTGAGTGGGTACAAAAGGTGGAATCGGATGTATGTTTCATTTTTGTTGTTACACATACATAGCATTAATCAATAAGCTAACTACTTCTTTATTGGTAAGTTGAAATCACTGAGCTTCTTCCATCAAATGGAAGGGATCCTGCTAGTTGCATCCCGTCATCCCAAAAGCACCTTTTTTCGCAAAATAGGCTCTCCCCTCGGTAACGGGTATTTGGATATGCTTGCAGACCAGCCCCACACCGACGCTGCCGCTGAATTTCACACCTGGGTCGCTACCCAAGCAATCTTAATCAACAAAGGTATCGAGCCGGCGGTTCCTAGAAAAAAACGTACTAAGCCGGTTGATGAAATCACCGAGAAATTCAGGGTTGGTACGTACCTAGTTAGACTGATTAAATTACTGGAAACATATTGATCATTGCATTATGTTGTAGGTAATCTTGCCGATAACATTTCCGCCATACGAGCCAAACTCAAAGAGTTAATTCGTCAGTCACTTCCACCTTCTCTTTTTCTGTTTTGAGATACTGATCTTGTTTGTTATAAGACACTGCCAGCGGACGTAAGCTTCATTGTGCATGGCCAGGTGAAGACTCGGCAAATCGCTTGAGAGACCTAAAAATTTCGGTTCGAATCGATGAAAACGACTGGAACATCGAACCAAGCGACTTGTGCAAGCCTCTTGTCCAGATCAAAGGAGGGACCGATGTGGCTATCCTCGCATGTTTAGGTCTGAACAAAATACATCTAACCTATCATCCCGAGTGGGATAGTCCACCCCGGACCCACAAGAAATCAGCTACCGGCAAGAAATCCAAGTCGGCCAACCAGAAAAACTCTACCAATACTAATGGTGCGAGCGAGGATCACAGAAGGCGAACCGATGACGATCAAGACACTGACAATGACAGCGAAGGCGAAGATGATCAGGAGAGTGGGGAGGATGAAGCACCTGCCAGAAAGAGAAAGCGCGCTGTCGTCCAAGGTCCCGCGGCAACCAAAAAGCAAACAGCGGCTCAAAAGAAGATATCGAATGCCAGGGAAATGGTCAGGAGAAATGCGAGGAGTGTGCGGACCGACAATACCACCAATCGGCTAGGTGATCAGCCAGTGTCGAATGGAGGCGTAGGCAATCAATCTGTATCAAATGAAGCTGGGTCGACTACTTTGGGGGGCTCAGCTGACCCGTGTTTGGACCCACTTCTCAACACTCTGGCTTGACCGCACCTCCAACTTCTTCATTTCTTGGTTTTGATTCCTCTTCTCTTACCAATTCCGTTTCTGTTACCGGTTCTCTTCTCTTACCGATCCTTACTCTTGAAGTGATAAACAGTATACAATACATGCCTATGTGATTGTCTTGTGCTTCCGATTCTTTTTTCTTCTGCCAACTGCGTTCCTGTCATGTTTTTCTCTTACCGATCCCAACCCCCGAACTGCTAAACAGTATACATGCCTGTGTGATTGTCTTTCACTATTGTCTTGTATGATTGTTTTTCCTACCAACTGCATTCCTACCTAGAATAATACTAACGACTACATATGAGACAAACAAGGGAAAAAAAACTGAATTTTCTGCAACTCCAAAAAGTTGATGTGTTTTCGAGTTAAATATTTAGTTTGCTTGAGCTTGAAAATGAGGTCAATTAGACACCAAATGGAAATCTATAACCTGTCACTTTCACATATAAACTACTCGGGAGATTGATTTGATTCAAAAAAGTTGAAGATTCATTTTTCACTTATTTTTAAAAAATACTACAATACAAAGGTATCGAGTCAAGCTGAAAAACAAGTGTGCGAGATAAAAATGTAAAGGGTGTTAACTTGAAAAAAAAAAGTGTACAACCCTTGCGAAGAGTTAAGGGTGACAAGTTACAAGAAAGACATGTCGAGTTGAAAAAAATGCGCGACCCTTACAAAAAAACTGTACTAAAGGTGTCATTTTTTATAAGGGTCGATGGATGAGAGGAAGGGGGGACAAGTCCTCGCGAACTTGGGGGGGGGATGAAGCGGGAAAATGTGGGACGAATTCCGCATTTTCCGCATGTCGATAAAATACCCGCGACACACCCTTCGAGGATGCCGCTCGTGCTGCCGTAAGGTATGCTTAGGGGTTGGTATATGGGTACCGAGCAGGTGGATGGGATTTTGGATCAGGCTTGGCAAACAAGATCCAGGAATTAAGTTTTCTAATCAAAGGCAAATCCTTAACCGAGGTTGATTTTCTTTTTCATTTCATCTAGTTGGACGTCTAGTGCCAATATAAGCTTGTGTTTTAGGTGACCTGTATCAAGTGAGTAGCAATTCATATCACTTTGGAGTCAAAATATCAAGAGAGTTCACTGCCAAGAGGACCCACTGGAAGTTTGTCCTCTGCGCCCGTATTAAATGTTCCGTTTAAAACATCAGGGAAGGAGAATATTCACTCTTTCTTCAAGTTTTTTCTCGCATCGGAAACCGCTTGTCCGCAAGTTGTACTATTGGAGTCGGAGCACAACTCATCGGATGAACTTATATTAAGTGGCAATGATGACCAACCAGAGACAGTTCTTTCAATGAAATATGTTGGCCGGACTGAATCTGGCAACACAAAGTACAGAATAAATCCATAATTAAGACTTCACTCCCAACGTATCTGTTACGAAGGGTGTAGATCAGAACAGCCATAGCTACAATGTTCAGATATTCCAGCTTTTGGGGGTTTGTTCGGCCAGCGGGTGTACTTCACTGCTTGCCGGGGAGGCATCACCTTCGGCAAAAGGACAAGTTTATGATACCTTTTCATTGAAGAACGTTCCTCCCCGGCAAGCGGCCGGTCTGTTGAACTGTTCGTTAGGGAGGAATTTACCACTTGTTGGGGGAGACCTCTTTAGAACAAAGTTACATACAACTCACAACACCGTGTACCGGGGAGGATTCCTCTTGTCTTGACTCCTGAACAACAGCCTGTCCCCGACAAGCAGCATGAAAGGATGATGCCTCGGTGGCGAGCCTCTCCTAAGAAAACTTCACTGAGCACCCCCCCATAGCATTTACCGGGGGGTATGTATGCTCTCTCCCTGGGTCTTGAAGAGCAAACACCATGGCCTTACTCGTCGACAAAAGGTCTTCAGTAGGCGGGTATATGTATCCCTGGTATGCATGAGGTGATAAGCAATGGATATTTCATTGCCCGGTGATGAAGATTTACGTTGTCATTATGCATTGGCTCATCACTTTTGGTTGCCAGATTCGCCGGCTGAATATGTTGCATTGTGGTCATCTAGCAATTATCATTAGCCTAGCGATCGTTGCAACATGGCAGATCTGCAAACAAAACCAAGGCAAGCGGATGCCCGCACATTTGAAGCGCTGTGGTGACGGCCTGGGGGCTGAAGATGATTATATTGAAGTAGTCGGGGTGGGTGTGCATTACGGGCTTGGAAAAAGTCAGTGACTGAGATCAGGAAAACTGACAAGTAGATCAAAACATAACCCAAGTGCGCACCAAAAGAAGACCGGTTGTGATCCTTCGCTCCGATTTCAACCTGGCCCGCCGAACGACTGTTCGCAAGTACGATATGGCTGGATGGGCTACCCCTCGGTCGGTCCTTTAGTTGAGAGTGGGCTTGCAACCGGAAGAAATTGACTGGCCGAAAACCGAGGTGCTCCAATCCTGCGAGGTGCTCCAATCCTGCTCATCTTCAGCCATGATCAGTCTATATAGGAGCCTCTGCCACCCTGGATCGTCATCCCACATTTGTTTCGCTTGATTCCCAGTTCTCATCACTTATTTCTACAAAAGCAATCCACCCAACTCTCAGATATCGCGCTTTAACCGCCTCGTGCCTAACCTCAACAGCAACCACGTTCTATCCCCTTTGAAATCAGCCCTAAATCCTTTATCTGCCTCCATTCTAGATTCAAAGAAAGTTTGGGTAATTTGGAAACAAGTATTGTGAGTACTTGACACATGTGTTCCTTTTGACCATGATCAAATTCTGACGCAGCGTTGTAATTATTCAGCTTCTTAGCCTTTTTCAGCTTGAACACATCGTAATCTCAATAAGATGTCTTCCACTCAACCCTCATCGCAACTTCGCTCTGCCCTTAAATGCCCTATCCCCAGCCGCCATTCCATTCGCAATGTCTCCGTACCAAGCCACTATAAACGACGTCAAAGCTCCAACCGTGTTCGATTTGAAGGTCATTCGAGTTCCAATGGAAGTCAGAACGAGAGTCTCCGTAATCATCCGCATGCTTCAAGCTCAAGAGATCAGCGTCCTAATCTGGCTCAACCTGGCCCCAGTCGGATTCCCTGCCGCGTTCAATCTGGCAGCTTGTCTTCCCGGAGAACAGAGCGAAGCCAAACTTCTGAACGCGGCCGCCAAATTCAACAAAATAATACCTATAATCATGTTCAAGCTCAGCGACCACGAATCTCTATCAGCCCTGTTGAACGCACTCGAATTTCCCCTCGTCGACACCAAACCGCAAAAATATCTCTATTCATTCCAAGCCATTCCCGCGCCGCCTTATCACCTTGTCTATCATTACCCTCGAAAATCAATTCATCAATTTCCACATTGAAATCAGGAGGCTGCGAAATACTTCTTCAAAGCTGAATCGTCCAGTTGCACATGGAAGTCAGACGGAGGTTCAGGACCTGAGCCTGAAGATCGGGAAGAAAGCCTACACCTTATCCCCTTCATGGTGTTCACCAAACATCCAGAACGTTGCTTACAAGTACAATGTTTCCTGTAGCAAGAACCAAGAAGCCAACAATCAAATTCTCTCAGCATTCCTCAAAAACAACGGGGGCTACTTGGATGACAGCGACGACGAGGAGGAAGAAGAACACGATGAGGATGAGCCTGTCAATTCACTCAGATCAACCGTCGCCTTCCTCAAACGCATCCCCTATCCATTTGAATCGCGTAATCCAACTCCCATGCCGTCCGCCCAGTTCAACGACCTATCACTTTTGAGTATTTCCACTTCAGAATCTTCGGGCAAATCCTCTCCAAATTCGTCTCCTCGGTACTACTGGAACAGGGCTCAACCCAATGTGTCTGCATCTCCAAGCAAGAATCGTTCGCGCTTCTCCATTTACAAAACATAGTTTCTCAATCAATTCACTTCATAATCAAGTAATATGCTTCTCATGTATTTTTTTTGTATTAATTCAATGTATAGTATCAGTTTCTTCTTCTTCATCTGCTTCTGAATCCAATCTAGTTTTGGTATTGATCTCCTTCCTTTGGTATTCAATGAGGTGTATTTGTAAAATAAATCTAATAATAATACTAATAATTGACATTCAGACTACATGCTGGATTTCTCCGTAATTGTTTTTTTCCAAAATCAATCAAAATATGTGATGTAGTTAGAATTCAAGTGCCTCAAAAATATGGAAGAATTGATCCAGTACTGATTGCAAAAGCTCAACAAGCCGCTTTTGGCCAGTGGGTACTACTACTACAGACTCTACCCACTTGCCAAAGAGACTCCCCCCCTGTCTAGTGAGTAAATCAGGTGAGAAATCCTCATTGCTTGTTCACTGAAGCCTACAGTAACTCTCTAAGAAGGAATCTTCCTTGGCTGATGGGTACTGATGGTTGGAATTTCACTCAACTTCTCTCTCTCTCTCCTTTTTCTTTGTCATACATGAAGACCCAGGAAACCCCTTGTAGAGGTGGGTAACCAAAAATCCCAGATTTTGCAAAAAATTCATACATTTTTGGAAGCCATTCATATGATTTTTGTGTGTGTGTTGAGATGAAAATGCACCAGAAAGTGAGAAAATTGCCCCCAAAAATGTGCGGCTATGTCAGTTAGGCAGGCTTTCCTCAAGTTTGAGCCAAAATTCATACATTTTGAACCATTTTTGTGCATAACATGTCAGATTTTTGAGCTGATTCATACCACTTTTGTGCGTATGATTTCAGGATTTTCCCCAAAAATTCATACATTTTGGTTACCCATTTCTAGAGGGGGTTTCCTGGGTCCTCATACATGCTCTTCTTTTTTCAACCTCATATATTCAGCTAAGTACGGTTGTTTTCTTTCTTATATTTATTATGCATCACTACCTGCTCCCACAACTTGTGTGATTTGTATCTCTAGACTACTTAAGATCCTCTAGATACTAAGGGATGGAAACCATCAGTCTTACTTATTACAAAATGGTCCTGAGTCAACACATTAGCATCCTCTCAGCCTTAACTTAGTGCACTATAGCCTGCTCGATTGAGTATAAAACAGCCTCTCTCAGACACTGAAGGACTTCCCATCAACATCATCTGCGGGTCTTCCAGAGCCGGTTTAGAGCCTCAAAATTCAACTTTCTCTGCAAGAATTAAGAGTTTTTGGGTCTAGATCAACTTCTGTGAGGGTCCCAGATCCAACGGGAAGTCCTCCACTTTCTGCTTTTGCCAGCTCTACCAACTTTTTCCACTTCTTTGCATATTATTTCAACACTGATTGCACTGATGACTTGCCTAGAGGGAGGAAACTCCCATAGATGGAAGGTACCAAGCATAAGCACATAAGTCCAGCCTGTATAGACTTGCCAATCAGGATTTGCATTTGAAAGTGGGTACAGTCTGTAAATTTTTGTGTTCAGGCTTGCAGGTAAATCCAAAGTCTCAGGTCTAAGATTTGGGATAATGAATCCTCAATTTTAGCTGAACAAAAAGTTCAGGCTGTTGGATCATCTCTCAGCACGAGCACCAGTTACTCATCCCAATTTCACACCCCCCCTCACCGTTTTGGGAGTTGTGTTGCAATGAACTAGGCCAGAGAGACAGATCATGGAAGGATAAGTTCATTGCATCACTCAAAAGAGAAAAGAGAGAAAAAGGAAAAGGACTCACCTAGGCCAAAGAGACAGATTGTGGAAGGATGAGGAAAAGAGAACTTCCACAATCTGTCTGCTGGCCTAGAGTGACTACATACAAGAGTGTCACACATCTGTGACATGAGTGAAAATGATGAAAGGTGACAAGCATAGAGAGAGAAAAAGAGGAGAAGCAGAAGACAGAACTGTGAACCTCAACAAGTTGTTCTCTCAGTTAATTTTCATGCGCAAGGCTTTTGACTGTTTTTTTGTGAAGTCTATTTTGGAGAAAGACACATACAGAAAGATTGACCATGTGGGAGAGAATGGAAGCTGGTCGTGGACTCCTAAAACAAACATATACATATCTATGTTGGAGTCTGGTACTTAGGTCGCAAAAGAATTCGGAGTATAACAAGCTTGTCATTTTGAAAACAAAAAGCGTGTTTTTTTTCTGTTCAAAGAGCAAAGTGGCAAGTTACAGTGAGTTTTGATTGCAGCCTGGACTACTAGAAGACCGTTGGGGATTCAAATTGCTTTTTTTTTTTCAGGCTTGAATATATCATTGATGATCTTGCGACGAAACGATGGTTTTGTGTTACTAAGTCGTTTGTCAAATGAATCAACTGAGGATTTGGTTGACTTGGTGATAGTCAGTTGAACGTTTACCGGCTGTAGCCATCCATTCAACAGCAATTGGGAGTCAAGGTTGAGGGTACTCTTCAAGAGTGAATTGATCCCAACCCGATCTTTTGACTGATTGTTTGCGTCTAATGTCTCCAAGAGTTTACCACAACGGGCTTGGATCTGCTTGAACTTCTTTAGATCTTGTGGATCAGTTGGGACAAGACTCGAGAAATTTGCCCAGTGTTTCTCATGTTGAAGACTAGAGAAGATCTGAGCTTCCGAAGAAAAGGAGGACTGGCGCCGATAAGATCTGTTCAAGAACTCGTGCATCTCGAGTACAGCTTCTGTCAGTCGATACTGGATCATGAAATCCTTGCTCCAAGCCGCCAGGATCTTGGACAAGTCGTCCATAACACTGTAAGTCATCACAAAACGAACCATCCAGAAGCTTGCCAAGAACTCTCTCGGATCATTCGTCACCAAGGCTTGTGTGATAATATCCTTAAGATCACTGATCAGGCTTCTTCTGGCCTCGACACATGGCCTGCTTGAGAGCCCTTTCCAGTGGAATCGTTTGATGTAACTCTCTTGCAGAAATCCTTCCCATTTATATAACCGGATCCCGTCCTCTTCTACATCATCTGTAGGAACCATTTTTGCAAAAAGTATTTGCATCGACCTATGCAAAATTCTTCCCTCAGTTGGTAAGTCAAGCACTGAAACAGAAAAAGAAATTAGTAACTTTCTTTTCCCTTATTATGGGAAATGTCAGCCAACACTTGATTTGGAAAAAAAAAAAAAAAACAAGAATTAGAAACTGCTCACAATTTAACCACCAATGCATAGATGAAGTAGTGAGGTCGGTTTTCAAGAACTGGAAGTCAGGTTTGAAGGAGACCAACCTTTGGAAATCGGGATATCCTTCCGGCCCAAACACCTGGACCAGATATTTTCCAACTACTTTGACCACCCGATTTGAATTGAAAAAGCTCGTAATAACAGAGGGAGCATGTGGAATTAACTCTTTCTCGTTGAGGAGATTGAGTGCTTGTAAAGATTTCTGGACAAAGTGGAATTGGGTTTCTGGGAATTCTTGGGCTGATCTTGTTGTAGGGGGATCTATATAAAGTGATTGAAGTGATTCCTTTAACCTGGAGATAACCCTTCCAGATTCATGATCAAGTGGATCATGTTCAAAAGTCACATGCTCAAACAATCTCCAAAATGTTTCTTCATCCTTTTTCCGTACCAATGGCACAAGTTCTTCTTTGAAAAGCTTCTCCAATCTCTCGATCTTTGACTTGATGATCTTCATCAGGTCCTCAGATGTCCCTAGTCTTTTGTATTCCTGGGTAAACTGCTGCGATATAGTATTTGAAGAGAAATACTTGAGATCTATTCGATTTCTTTCCTCCTTACTTACTGAAATCCAAATGTGAAACATCCGGTGTTTAGTTTTTTTTTTTATTTTCTTTGGCCAGGGGGGGGGATAATTTCAGGAGATGATGAATTCACAAAGACTTACATCCAGCCCTTATGACATCGTATTCATCTACCTTGTGCAAATGTGATACATATATCAGGCTTGGTTAAGGAAATTGAGATAATATGGAATAATTAAAAACATATTTGTACCTCCTAAGTTTTCCCATCCCTTATCAATTCCTTTGACTGTCGGATTGGAACATTTAACTTCTTCCTTTAGGGTGACTTTATGTATGTATGTAGTCGGATTGAAGCAATATTAGCCCACAAAAAACACGTGATAGCTGTGATTAAACTGACCTTCTGAGCTGGCAGCGCAGGCTCCAGGAGGTGAGCCAAACCAATGGTGGGCCAGTTACACTAACCGTAGTGTTAGTGCAGCGTAGTGTTAGCTTTTTAAGCTACGCTACACAAAAGTTACCGTTAGCGGGAGTTTTTGGCCCACTAACACTACAGGATTTTTTAAAAAACAAAAAAAAACTTTAGCGTAGTGTTAGCTACCTTTAAAAAGGCACAACTAACACTACCCAAAATCCTGTTAGTGAAATTTTAGTGGTGTTAGTGGGTGAACCCACTACACTACATGTTAGTGTAACTTTTTGCAAAGTTACACTAACAGTTAGTGTAGTGGTACCCTCAGTTACACTAACTGTTAGCGTAACTGGTGAAAAAGTTACACTAACTGTTAGCGTAACTGATTAAAAGTTACATGACCACATGACTAGCATTAGTATACCCTGAAGACAGTGGCTGATTGGGGGGCCTACATCCAGATCCCCTCAATTGATCATTTTTTTTCAGTTGGTAATGGGGGCCACTCAATTTTAGCCCCCTGCCAATTTTTAACACTTACTTGTAAGACCACATTCCCCTGTCAGACTACCTTGAGATTATGGGTTCAATTCCCCCTCAGATCATACTTTACTGGGTTCCATTCCCACACTTGTTCAATTTCCACTTTCACATCATGTAGCAAGGGGGGGGGGGGTTGAGGTGTAACCATGATGTATCACCAGAGTGTGGTGGAGCTGTTGGCATGAACCATGGCAACTACCACCCAAATAACCTTAAAACCACAAGGGTCTGTAGCACCACGGTCATATGGGTGTTGCTTCCCATGTAAGTGACACCTTGACAAATCCGCGTGCGTGACTGCGGCAGTTGGCGCAGTCACTGCGCACAAAACCCCCAATGAAACCTCCAGATGTCGCTCCGCGCGGGAGCGAGATCCAATTGTCCGTTGTAGTATGCCAATTGTGTTTCAAGTATCAAATTGCATAAAGTCACAGTTCAATATGTAGAAGGGCATATATTCTTAGGCGTATTATGGCATAATCACATTCTAAGGGTCATTTAACCCATAGTCACTCACTGGAACCACTAGGCTAGCTCCACTCAGTCAAAAGTTATTTGGGATTTAAGGTAACCACAAGTTGGCCACATTGTTTGTAGGTACAGAGAGAATCTTGTATAGATAGCAAAACCACAATTTGGCCGGATTTTATGCATATTTGTTATAGGTTAGGGTTAGAACCACAAGCTGGCCATTTATGAATTATAGTTTATAGGTTAGGGCTAGAACCACAAGTTGGCCATTTATAGATTATAGGTTAGGGCTAGAACCACAAGTCAGCCAGGTTGTAAAATAGACTATTTAAGGAGGGGCTTTCCCCCCTCATTCCAATCAGATCATCTCATCATCTCATCATATCATCTCATCACAACAGATCATAATCTCATCTGATCATCAACCAGACAGAACAGAGCAATCAATCCAGACATTAACCAGTGTGATCTTAATCAAGTGCCCCATTGAGATCATTCAGACATTGAGAAGCATAGGAAAAAGAAAGTAGCAACCAGTACCACTTGTGATCTTAAACAAGATACAGTGATCTTAAACCATTGTGCTCTTGACTAAGATTCAAGGAGGAAGGGAAAGACACTTTTCAATAGTCACATTTTTTTCCACAATATCATCTCATAAATTCACATTCATCATCAGTACATACGTCAATCATTTTTCAAAATACATAAACATATAAACAAAACACCTCTTACTCAACAATTCCACTCCAATAGTCTGCTGAATTCCCGTTGATCTAGGTTTGATAAGAGACTGCTACACACAGTTTTCTCTATCATCAGTTTTGCCACAACAATAAAAATAAATTGTTGTGTTAACTCTTGTGTAGTACAATAGAGGGGCAGGTCTTTCAAACCAGCCATAACAGTTGTAGTAGATCATTACATACGTGATATACCTCATCTGCTATTTCCCCCTCACAGGACTGCCACCATTCCCAAAGGAGTTCTCACATCTGGTGTCCCAACAGTGGCCTAAAAACGTTCAGACGATCAACAATAACTCTCCCTCAGCACCAGAAGACTAGATAAGTGGATAACAAAGGGAACTGGGGCGCACCCGGGGGAACTGGGTAACTAGCAGACAGTGAAGTTAGAACTTTGAAAAATCAACCAAGGACCAAACCAAGGTCAAGGGAAAAGGAGGCAACAGCTGTGGTTTTCAAGAAATTCTTTCCGGAACTTAAGCTAGAGTCAAGAATGTCCACCCAAGAAGAATTCAGCATGGAGCAGTCAGCAATCATTTTAAAGAATCAAGCCCAAATATCAGAGCTTGAAGATTCAATTCATTGTTTGCAGGAGACAGTAAATATCTTACTCAAACAAATGAAGATATCACAGTCACTTCCAACAGATTCACCAGAGGTCTTGAACAAGGAAATTATGGAGATTTGTCAAGATGAAGGCAGGTTTGACTCGCCACCCACATCAACAAAACCAGTTTTGGATCAGGAATGCCCCTTCTTCGGTTGTAGTTATTCAGTTCAAGTAAAAGATTGGGGCAGTTATTCTGACATCAGAGAGGAGACGATCAAATATGACCGTGAAGAGGCACATGACGTAGAAGAACTTTACCCACTTTCAGATCTAGAGAATGCTGTTCCCCAAGAACCAAATTTAGAAAATCAACAGAGAAAGAGCTATCAAGAAGTTCCCGCTTTGAATAATAAATATTCCCACAACTTCTGGAAGGATGAAAGACCCCTGAAACTTTTTAGAAGGGTATTTTCAGAAGAATGGTATTACAGTGAAATCAAAAGAATTTATCAACTGCTTCAAGAGTTACCGGGTGGTGGAATTAGCAATTTGGATTTTATACACATACTCACAGATATTGGAACAGAAGCATTCTTGAAGGAAGGCCATTGGAAATCTAGATATGGCCAACTTGGATATAAAATTAGGATCAACATATATAATGAAGATAAGAAAGGGATTGAAATGGGCTGGGAAGAATCCACCTGGAGGCAAACCTTTTTCAAAAAAATAGGAAAGCAATTTTTTGGTCTTGTGCAAGAGGATGCTCAATCAAATTATTGATTCCTTTATCAAGATAATATGGCTGAAGGTGTAAGATAGATCAGAGCAAGCTATTCATAAATATTGTACAAAAGCATAACAAACAGTGGCACATCAAATCAACTCTCCAACTGAAAGCAGTAATCCTTTATACTGCTTTTTGAGGACTTGGTCTTAACCTCTTTTTACATAAAAACATATATTCTTTTCAGGATAGTTATACTTTTTTAGGATGATCAAGCTTCTTATCTAACTACTAAAACAGAAGAATACAAATGGCAGATTATAGTGATAAAAGAAAGAGGATACAACAGAATAGTATATACATAGTTTTTGGGAGTTACATTATCCCCCTTATATAGTATAGCAGGAGTGAAAATTTGGCTTGCCTGAGGTCAAATATGGACCACCCTGCTCAATTAGAAATTCACTATAAGCATATTTCCTATCATTACTCAGTATAAGCATAGTTCTATTTCTACTCAGTATAAGCATATTTTTATTTTAACTCAGTATAAGCATATTTTTATTTTTACTCAGTATAAACATAATTTTCCTTCTTACTCAGTATAAGCATATTCCTTTGACTCAGTATAAGGATAATTTTCCTTCTTACCCAGTATAAGCATATTCCTTTGACTCAGTATAAGGATAATTTTCCTTCTTACCCAGTATAAGCATATTGTTTTACAACTCAGTAGAAGCATATTTTCTGGTCAATTTCACCCACACTTTTGGAAGATGAATTACAAGCAACGTGGTTTTTGGGGCCCAGGAAGTTTCAAGGTTTTCAAATCAATATGAAGAGAACTTATGCGCAAGGTGTTTGGGGAAGAATGATTACTGTGGAATATCAATACAGAAGTAACTGGATACCGGGGTCCTTCATGACCTTAAATTGAAAAATCAACCAACCTGGGGTCCTTCATGACCTTAAACTGAAAAATCAACCAATCTGGGGTCCTTCATGACCTTAAACTGAAATATCAACCAACCTGGGGTCCTTCATGACCTTAAACTGAAAAATCAACCAATCTGGGGTCCTTCATGACCTTAAACTGAAATATCAACCAACCTGGGGTCCCTCATGACCTGAAACTGAAATCTAGAAATGGTCGGAAAATGGAAAAGACGATGGTCCCTCATGACCTTAAACTGAAAGTATTGTAAAATTGCGGAAATAACTGGAAACCGGGGTCCATCATGTCCTTAATCTGAAATTGATGGGGAGAAAAACAACTGGATTCACAAAAAAAAAATGCTGTACAATCTAAAAGTGGAACCTTCTATGATTTCAAGAGAAGAATCAATGTGAATGAAATTTGGGGCAAGAACGGACAGGATTTACAAGAAATGTAATTACCACCAAATATCTCTGAATAATTTGAACTACCGGATCACATGAAACATCGATTTGAAGGATAGGGGACAGAAGAGAAAGCGCTA